AAAACACGCAACAGTTGTCAAATCATTTGACGTTTGAGTCGCCTCGGATTGAGCTCCTCCTCCAACTTTAGAAAGCTTGGACGCACCTGACGCGAAGGCCCTTTTTGGGTCATCGCCTCAGATACTACGTTTCCTTCCATGCTTTACAAAATTTCAGTCATCTCCCAACACGTCAACCTTTTGGGTCAGCGCACCGGTGGCAGATGAGGTCCTCCTCCAACTTTACAAACCTTGGACGCACCTGACGCGAAGGCCCTTTTGGGTCATCGCCTCGGACGCTGCGTTTCCTCCCATGCTTCACAAAGTTTCAGCCATCTCCCAACGCGTCGGCCTTTTGGGTCAGCGCACCGGTAGCAGATGGAGTCCTCCTCCAACTTTACAAAGTTTAGACGCACCTGACGCGAAGGCCCTTTTGGGTCATCGCCTCGGACGCTGCATTTCCTCCCATGCTTTACAAAGTTTCAGTCATCTCCCAACGCGTCGATCTGTGGGGTCAGTGCACCATATTCGCGAAGCTTCGATGCACCTTACGCGACGTTCCATGCTGGTTGATCGCCTCGTACGCTACGCACAATAACGAAACTTTGGCACGTCTGTCTGTTATCATAACCTCGATTGCTGCAACAGATCAACCCCCAAAGCTCCCATGACTTGCGGTCCTGTCAGGAAAGCAAGTCCACGCATGATATAAATATTCATCCCCGGACTTGGGGGTCCACTGTTACGCTTCAATTTTACACGCCTCGGATACCGAAGTGTCATCTCACCTCCGAGGTCGAGGCCAAGCGGCCCCCGCGCAGCACCACATATTCCGACCTGGAAACGACCCTTCCGAAGTGTCTCCGAAGTGATATAGCGATTCCTACTACTAATCTGTCGAAGCATCTCACCTCCGAGATCGAGATCAAGTGGACCCCGATTAGAAGATCCGCCGCCAATTTGAGATTTGTCCTGCACCTAAGGCTTAAATTGATTTGACGTCTCCATGAGGCTAGTTGATGTGACTTATCAACTTTATGTCAATTCAACTCAGAAGAACCAAACTATCCACCCACTCTACAAACGCGGCTGATTGACGCCTATGAGCGGGCGCTTCATACCGTCAGATGTATACATGCGTTCCACATCCAACGGCTCATACCACCTATAAATACCCAAGGTTTGACAAGAGACAAAGGTAATGAAACTCTTACTACATAGCACTCCATAACAAGTTTATATATTTTCTCCTCCCCCTTTATTGTTGATTTGCATAGCCCCTGGGTACTGTTCCGATCACCCAAACCTGACTTGACCGTTGGAGTGTATACGGCCGCCACCACCCCCGCTGGTTCCGGCCGTGTACGCTTGACTATTCACTGATTGTGCGCAGGGAAGAATACGTAGAGTAACTTTCAGTTGGCCACGTGGAATGACTAATCTCCGGGGTCAACAGATCACAATTTATTTATTAGTCACAAATCACAAATTTTATATGTCACAATTATTACACAATAAAAAAAATCAAATTATTAGTCACAAATTAACAAAATTTTAGGTCACATATTTTCTATTGATCATAACTTATCTATTAATTTATTGGTCACAATTAACCAACTAATTTGTGACCACAACCATACCATTGCCTCTAGTCGCACCTCCGCCAACATCGTCACCCAGCAGCACCACCATCGCTACATGCTTGCAAAACCAACACCATCCCACCACCATCAACACTAGTTCCAACCAACTACCATTTTTCAACTTCAAAACCAACACCACCCCACCACCAACAAACCACCATTTTCAACTACAGTGTCAAGGCCAACACCATCATCATCACTACCACATGCTTAGTCACCAACATCTTCCCATCAATGTCACAACCAGCAGAAGCAACATCACCACCTCATGTATCGAAAATCACAACCGCCATCTCCATTACACCACAACCACCACACTCATCAAAAAATCCCCAAACCCGCCACCGCCGCCGCCACTGCATCACTACCACTGCCTTTTCAAATCCACTGCAAGATGTAATCCACAACCACGGCGTCATTGCGCCTAGCGGTGCTACTGTGCCGCATGGCGATCACATGATACTGCTGCAAAGAGGAACAGATTGGTGCACGATTGTGGTGTACCGCAACAGTAGCATGGTGCCGCTGCAAGAGGGGCAGATCGAAGCCGGAATAAAGATAATGGGCAGTAGAGATGGTGCAATACGACTTTACCCTTCATTTTTTAAACATTTTTACCCTTACTTTCACCTTTCATTCCGGAAATCATCGTTGTCATCAAATTTCTCAAGTAAAATGATAATTATATCCTCCTATTTAAATAAACAAAAAATGAAAAGAAAAATTAAATAACAAATTGTAATCATACTCCCTAACCTTTCAATTAAAAAATTACAAATGAGTCCAAATAAATTATTAGAAGGGTAATTAGCACAAAACATTCTTACCTTTCAATATTATTGTGCAAAACGTTTCTTCCTTCAATTTTTTGACATTTTCATCCTTATTTTTCACATTTTATTTTGAAATTCATAATTTTCATTCATTTCTCAATTAAAAGCTGTAAAATAACAAATATATATCCTCCTTTTTTTTAAAAACAAAAATAAAGAAAAGAACAAATTACAACTATACTCCCAAATTGTTTAAAAAAGTAAAAATAAATTCAAATAAATAAAAGGTAGGGATGTTTTGTGTTAATTACACTTTTAATAATTTATTTGGACTTATTCACACTTTTTAAAAAAGTTTGGGAATATAATTGCAATTTGTTATTTAATTTTTCATTTCCTTTTTTTGTTTTATTTAAATAGGAAGGTATATTTGTCATTTTACATGAAAAATTGGATGAAAATATGATTTTCACAATGAAATATGAAAGTATGTGTGAAAATACCAAAAAAATAATAGATGGGGATATTTTGCACAATAACATTGAAAGATAAAGATATTTTGTATTAATTACCTCTATATATCAAGCTCATTTGAATTCAAGGTAAGTTTTTACTTCCTCTAGCTAAATCTCCATCTCCTAGAATTTGTGCACTCTATATCTTTAGTTCGAGTAGTTGACTTGATCATCGAAATACAAACAGTAATTGAACATTTTTTTCGATCAGTGACCTTTGCATCCTATCGAAATGTTTATAGTGCAGACAAAACTTAGGTAAATATGAAGGCAACGAGAGTCTGGTTGACCACATGATGGATTTTTTATGTTAACAAAATAATGGGAGTCAAACAGCTCGATTTTGTTTAGATTATTGTCATTCAATTTTTAAGTGTCCAATATAAAAAGTCATGAAAAGAAAACAATGGGAAAAAAAATGATTTACTTTGTATACTTAGAGTAATTCCAAAAGAGACTCTAAATTTAGATTATCTTTAAATTTAGAGTTATTTTTTTTATACACTCTAACAAGCTCTCTATTTTGATTCTTTATTTTTTTATTTTTTTTCCAATGAACATTTAATAATTTCTCCACATATTTTATTTAGGTATAATTTTTTATATATTAATGACCAATCAATTGAAATGTAATTTGAAAATTTTAAATTGTAGAGCACTGAAATTTGTAATGTATTAAATGCAATCATTGTACATTAAGAATAGAGAGTGAGTTTGGCTCTATAAAATTGGAGAACCAAAAACACTCTCTATTTTAAAAAATTAAAATAAAAAGTCTCTTGGAACTCATTTTTAAGCATTAACTTTCTAAAATAGAGGGCGTTTTGCGTTTAAAGAATTTCTTGAAAATGCTCTTAGCCCCTCAAAAGCAGTTGATGCCGAGACCGAGGTTGGCATAGACTGTCTTTTACTCTTTTTATTCAGTCTTTTGTATTTATTTTCATAAAATTAGGCATTAATATATTTTACTCTGGAGTGCAAGTCATGTACTTTTAAAATGGTGAAATGGGCAGAAATAAACTTTGTTGTATGTCTAGAAAAACTGTACATATGATATTTTGTCATTGGGTACTGCCCAAAAAAAATGTTGTGTTGGCAATCAATGCATTACTATCAACATTGCATCTAACACTTGCACCGAGTGATGGCTCTTGTTAATAAAGAACTTCCACATTAGAAAATTTTAAAAATAAAAATAAATTAAAACCATTATCTTATAACTTTTACTTGCATTTCACGTTCTCCTAAACGCACTGATATAAAGCACAAATTTTATCGTTAGATTGGATATGGAAACAAGTCAGAATTTTACAGAATCATTCTAGCTTTCCTATTTTAAATAGTTCCCATTATTCTTAATCCCCGTTGTAAACTAAAATATTATCTTCCTATTTCCACTGGGATTCTTTATTGGGCGTCTCTATATATTCAATACTATACTGAGAATCTGTATGCATTCATCATCTGACTAAATGAGAAAATTTCAGTTCAGTTTCCCATCATGGAGCTGTTCAAGATTTCACGTTCCAACATCCCTTCGCCTCTTCTTATGCTTCCCATTCAACAAGAAAATAATGTTTGCCTCTTCACTCTCACAGATAAGATACAATATCAATTTGAGGCCGATATCGAAAAGCTTCAAAATTGCCGTTTTGTGGGTTCCATCTCATGGATGGTCAATTTGAGGTCAATATCGAAAAGCTTCAAAATTGCCGTTTTGTGGGTTCCATCTCATGGATGGCTAATTCCCTTGAACCAAATTCATAACATCCGTGAAGTCCATCTCATGGATGGCTAATTCCCTTGAACCAAATTCATAACATCCGTGAAGTCGAGAACGAAGTCTTACAAGTATTGGGATTATTCAGTTTCCCACTCTTCAAAAACTCTTCGACAACTTTCTACCGTAAAAGATGTTTTATCTGCGAATCCATAATCTTGTGATGCAGATTGTAACATTGCAAATTGAAGCTAGCTTTCTGCAGGCTCGGAAACTACGAATGGACGGGCTTTGATGGTGAAAGAGTCGTATCATGACATTCAAAACTTGCAGGGCAATCAGAATGAGTCAGATGTGGAACAATGGAATGTCTCGAGAAGAACACAAAATTATCAGAAACCTTAAATATAAAGCAATGTCAAAATATCAAAATAGACAAATAACTCACATGCCAGCGTCGCCACCGCCTGTCTAGCACCCAATTCTGGGAACCATAACCAGACAGCGAAGACAACTGACGAGGACAAGGAAAACAACCAGCAACACGAGATAAACGACTCGAAACAACATGAATAAGATAAAGCAAGTCTTTATGATAATAATGGAAATATCTGTAGTAATTAAAGCAGCAGTAGATCCCAGGCATCAAAGTTCACTTGACACCCTTCTTGGCAGCAGCCTTGGTCACCTTGGCACCAGATGGCTCCTTCTTGTCAACATTCTTGATAACACCAACGGCAACAGTCTGGCGCATATCCCTCACAGCAAATCGTCCAAGAGGGGGGTACTCAGAGAAAGTCTCAACCACCATGGGCTTGGTTGGAATCATCTTAACCATTCCAGCATCACCATTCTTCAAGAATTTGGGTTCCTTTTCAAGCTCTTTACCAGAACGCCTGTCTATCTTGGTCAGGAGCTCGGCAAATTTGACAGCAATGTGGGACGTGTGGCAATCAAGAACTGGTGCATAACC